TCAATTTGTCCCCCCCCCCCCCCCCGCCCCAAAAAAAAAAGAGAGAGCCAACGTCAAACAAGAGACCAAGTCTCCTCTCCAGAGAATCCTGTCTGCACATTCACACATCCAAGTTGGTTCCATGATTCATATTCAGGCTGAGGGGGAGAACAATTGTTTTCCTTCCTGTTTTAATGATCTCCACTGTCAATCATTTTATCTCCAGCTACATGTAGATTTGGCATGCTTATCTGGCATAAAGCTAATCTGATTTGGGCTGAGCTATCCAACCCACCTGGATAACAAGGTGCCACGTGAAATTTTCCAGCAGTCGGTGGGTTTCCAATAACCTATTTTTAGTCGAATTTTCAAGAATGCCGAAAATAACTGCAACGGAAATACCAGAAATTTGAAAAAAAAAAAGCCCTAAAGGTCTTACGCTTGCAGGGGGCGGCGAATTTTTTATCATAATACCATTAACATTGTAGCTATAGAAACAGGTTTTGCGAATAAATGACGACAGGACAGGATACCACATTGCATGTTTTGACAGCATATAATGTCACACGTACATATTCTTGTCACAAAAAATAGCAGCAGACGATAAAATATGTTTTGGGGGATGAAGAAATTGAAAGATTTCTGGATTAATGAAGAAGTGAACGATAATGCAGGTACGCATCTGCATTCCTATACAGATGACGCAGTGGTGTCCTTATCTCCAAAGGTCCCCTTTTCATGACGGCTCAGTAGGAGGAGAATGCTGACACAATTGTAACCAGACCTCTTCCAAACCTTGAAAGTTCGATGAGCAATTTGTCCAGGATCACTTTTGTTGACAGTCAGTCGAATGTCTTGTGGCAGAGAGATATTCTCAGATGATGTCATTTCATGGCGCTAGCAGTCTCCTCCCACTTTTCACTGAATTTGCTTAAAATAATTCAAAACATTTGGACGGAAAGCCCAAAAGTGATTTTGGTTGAATTTTATTTGCTTGGAGTTTTTGGAAAAATAGTACTAGCCTCCAGTCTCTACTGTGAGATCCAGCACACAAATCCACAACCTTTAGCACTCATGCTGCAATCCTGCTGTCATCCGAGAAATTGACTTGGAGACATTGCACCTGATAACCTCCACATAAAAGTTCAGTTCTGTTCTGCAAGGTTTGTTTGAATAGCTAAACCCTGATCAGACTTTTCAACCGTTGGGGTGTGCAAGAAATAGCAGCAGGACATTGTGCATCTCACCAATTGTAACAAAGATGTGACGTTTTTTTTTTTTTTTTTTTTGACAGTCGCTGATCAACATCCAGCAGCATGTCTAACTCCACTGTACGCACTGTACACCAATAAAAGCTTGGTGTATTTTCAGAAGCTTTTCAATATAAAACACACTGAATTGAACTGAACTGCTGAATGGGAAGAGGATAGTGAGACGGAAAACCTTCACACTTCACATTCTCGCCTCCAAACAATAGTTGTCAAATTTCCACCAAGTGCTACGGTGCATATTTGATCATCCCTCATCTGTCTTCTTGTGTTTCCACCATAGGTGCGACAATATACTGTATAAGGAGGATAAAATTGAAAAAGGGGGGCCTTTTTTCTTATTTTTGCAAGAGATAAACAGGGTGTATTAATGTACCCAACGGCCAATTATTTTGGTGTGAATTGATCTGCCAGTCTATTTATTGATCTCCTATTTCCATCACATTTTGGTCCATTTGGGCTATTATTGTCCATCAAAGTGCCACAGAAGTATGAAATGTTAAGTCTGGCCATTTCAGAGGACTATAAAAGTATTGATTGCTTCATCCTAATGGTTGTCTCCAATTTGGAATTTTTATTATTTTCTTTTGGTACATCAGATCTCATGTGTACTGTATATGCAATACAAAGATGTCTGCTTTGCAAAAGACTCTTCTTTGTAATCATTTCCTGCTTTGATCATTCATGCTGCAATGTTTTGTGTGACAACACTTTTTTCCCCCTTGAGGACAGTCCATAAAAAGTGGGGTGGGCCACTACAATGAAAATTCCAAAACTATAATCAGGCTGTGAACCCACATGAATGTATGAATACCTGATATCATCACATATTCAAAACAAATTGGTGGATAACTAGGTTTGAAATCAGAAGCCAGTAAATTGTTTGTGCCACAACTATTTTCCAATTTACTTTTATTATTTTTTCTTATTTAAAAAGTGGGGATCAGTAACATATCTCATATCTCAGCGTTTTAAAAAAGTGAAGGCTGTTTGCAAGAAATATGAAGTCGACACGCATATTTTGCCTTCGCAGGTCACGTAAAATGATGTCATGGGCCAGGTCTGGTCCCCAGACCTTGAGTTTGAGATCAGTGTCCAACACAATAACAGAAACATGCGACTATCCATCTCATCACACCTGTGGGATCCCCCACCGTTCCTTTATTAGACTCGTGTTTGATTCCATTCTTGTCATTATTTTTGCAGCAACAAAGACAAACACTTCAAACGCAATACAAAAGGAATAATTTGCCTTTATCCTCTTACCAGTCCAAACATTTGTCATTTCAATATTCAAGTTTTTTTCACGAAATCTAACATGCATTAAACATGCGTATTCATGAATGGGACCAGATTTTTACCAGCTTGTTTTGATCTAGATGAAGGATTGCCGATTGTAATTATTCATAATCTCTCCTGTTTCTATGTTTGTCAGGGTTTGTTTTGTGTCGCCCAAGCTCTGCTGTACACTACACTCAGCTGACACACACACACACACACACACACACACACACACACACACACACACACACACACACACACACACACATTTGTCGAGACCAAGGGACCATTTGACTGACCCTTGTCAACTCTTCTAACATTGCGAGGCAGTTGGTTTCAAAAGAATACAGGGATTGTTTGTCATCTCGCAAACCCATCTTTCAAAGCTTTTAGGCTTCTAGAAATGGTTTGACCATTCAGGATCCTTTGAGAGAGAGGTGGCCGCTATCGGTGAGGCGGAGTTGTGCCAAAAGAGCAAAGCAATGATGAAATGGCATGTTGGCAGTTTTATCGGACGCACGATCAGTAAAATAAGAACAGAATTTCTTGCGTCGTGGTATCCGCTTATCTATTTTAGGCTTTTCCTTTCGACTTTCGAAGCAATCGGTATTGATGGGGTGCAAGACTGACACCTACTGAAAAAACATGGTCCATCCCATTTTACAGTTACCGTCTGCCCGAGATCACACTGTGAAACTACCCTTTTTGTAAAACAAATACCGCTGTGTTTCCTGTACTGTAGCGATATGTTAATACTTAAATAATAGACAAAATATAATTTCAGGGAAATAATTAGGTTTTTGATCCTTATGAAGCAGAGGGGCTAGCATAACATCTGAACGAGGGGTTAGTGGGGTTAATGGGCAAATGAAATGCCAGATCATAGCGATGCTGGAGTAGAGATACTATCTTTGGCCTTTAAAAATGTTGCTTCTACCATATATCCATGTGTGTTAAAACCAGTACAGGAGATGGATGGAAGTTCAAAAAGAGGAAGGAAGGAACAGGAACAGCTGGAATTCTCCCTCTGGATGACTCCTTCACAGTCCTGAGAGCTTTATAAAACATTCATTCCTTTCCGCGAGCCTATGATCGCTCTCTGTGTACAGCAGACACTAATGTATTGTGCTATATTGACAAAAACTATTGGTGGTTAGCGCGTCGACCTCACAGTGCAGAGGTACCGGGTTCAATTCCAACTCCAGCACCCCCCGCGACCCTTGTGAGGATAAAGCGGATTGGAAAATGAATGAATGAATGAATATTAGGACACCAGTGTGTCTCTTCTTGTTATGATCTGTATTTGGACGCTGGTTTTGTTTGATATATTTACTTTTGTTTCATGTTACATCTTGTTTTCTGGTGGTTTGGTTCATGACTGTCTTGTTAGGGTTTGGTGTCCACCTGTTGCGCCAGCTTGGCACCTTCTGTTTAGCAATGAGCTTCCTCAGCCACTCGTGTCTTGTCCAGGTGTTCCTCGCTGTCTGGTCTGTTTCTATTTAGTTCTTTGCTTCCTTTCATTCTTTGTTGGATCATTGCTGCTGTTTGTAGTGCATGCCAGTTGTCACTCCCTTGTGTCCTGGTGAGTTTGGTGTGATCGTTTGTGACTTCTCTTGTTCACCTGGGCACGTTTTTTTCTCATTCTTCCTTCACAGCAAATCATCTTTGTAAATGTGATCATTTTAACAGCCAAGATCAGTATTAAAAAAATCCACCTCATGTATTAAATTCAAAGCTTAAGCATATGCACATTGTCCTGCTCACCTATGAGCACGAGCTCTTTGGATTGACTTCTAAATTGATGATTTATTTACGACTCTCTGAAGCATGTTCAAAATGTCAAGTTTTATGTGCATGCGCAGTGCACGCACGTACACGCTCAATAGACACATCTTCATACCCAAAGATGCATTGAAGTGCACTGTCAACAAACAGGAGATCGTTCTCCCCCAACCGCCGAGTGTGCCAGTTTGCCTCAGGCATTAAGACCCTTTCAGACACTACACACACATGCAGATATAAACACATGTGCAAATCACACAAAGGCACAACCAACATGATGAAGAAAGTCACAGCGCTGCAGTGCACTGTACGGCGTTGAAAACTGGAGCAGAAGACTTCAAATCAAGAAGCACATATTACACCATTTTCCCATGGGAGACGATTCAGGAGAAAACAATTTAATGAGATTCAGCAGAATGAAAAAAAAACAGCTCTCAATACTTGTGTACCAACCTTTTGCCAAAATAGACTAGTCACTCCCTGATTGTGGTTTTTCTACAACATAACCATATATACAATCTAACCCGTGACATTCAAGGTCAGCTTTGGGTCAAAATTGTTGAAACTACTCCCAATTGCCACAGCGCAAAAAATATCATCAAGCTCCCTGACACAACACACACGTATCTGCTTTCCTGTGTTAATGGAAAATGATGCCAAAAACCCTAGCTGTGATGTTAACGATGGATGATCTTTTTGTTTGATCTAATTTCATTGCCTGTGGATGCCGTTTCCAGTTTGGATCCTCCTTTCCAAATGGGATTGGCCATCGAGATAGGTCAATAAGTATGACAGCATCGCTGCTAATGTGCATCCATTAGTGTATTTGATCAATTTTCCTTACTGCTTTCATTCAAGTATAAAAGAGAACCGCAACATGTTTCATTTATGTGTGTGTGTGTGTGTGTGTGTGTGTGTGTGTGTGTGTGTGTGTGTGTGTGTGTGTGTGTGTGTGTGTGTGTGTGTGCGTGTGCGCGCGCGCCTTCATCTCTGCCAAATACTCAAAGGGGAGTACATGCATCAGGATATGTGCAAGTTCAAGCCAAAATTAAGACTTGTTAAGCAACTTCCATGAATAGACCTTATACTGGCAATATTTTGACATCCTTTAAAAAATGATTGTTAAAAAAAAATGTGTGTGCCTTTGCAAACTTTCCATCAGAAAATTCAGTATAATGTGGTTTGTTGTGTTTGTGGCATTTAAAAAACGGCGCATTTAAGGACAAAACACCATTTTTAATCATAGAATTGGTAGATTTTTATTTTACAAGAATTTGATGTCGCTTTTATTTCACATCAGTGATATGAACAGCAGTTTTTGTGCTATTTTCTTTCCCCACCTTACATGGTTGTGAGATATCTCCAAGGCCCACTAGGCTTATCAGCTGTTTAATGGGTCACAGATGTCCAGCTGGCGAAGTCAGTTTTAGCTTGTGGCCAGCAGCACCTCTGATGTGATATCTGAAATCTTCACACTGACTAGTAATCCTCCACCTGCATGACAGGTTACTTTCAGAATGCATGGTAGTGTAGCCTCATACCAGGACACCCCAAATGAGCATCGTTTTGTTTGTAAAGGCAAGATTTAGGCAGTTGGACTCTCAACACTAAAGATAAATTTTTTTCGACGAAAAGAGCAGGCGGTGGGGAGCCTTCTTGCCCCTCTGGGACATTTGCTGCTGGGCACACCTCAGATCCTTGGCAGAAGTGGAATTTGGTTTGCCCGATAATATTGGCCGTAGAGGACGTGGAAGACATCAACAATATTGGCCTTCTGATAACAGGTATGCTGCTGTTTGGAGTTGGCAGTTTCCTGATCCAATGAGAAAATTCAGCCGGTGGGAGCAGCTTCATTGGAAAGGAACAAGCTGGCGGCCTTTCTGCAGGGTGCGAGGCAGATGATCAACACTCGGACTCATGCGTTGACTGAACTCAATCGCAAAGTGGATGCGGTGTTGGAGTCTCTTCGCAAAATGGAAAAGATTGAGGACTAGTTGGCCTGGCCTGGAATAAATTGAATGATTGATCAAGGATATGGCTAATTGACACCATCGGGAAGTCACAAGCTAAAAGACCTCATCTTTCTGCTCGTCAGTCTGATTGTAATCTGACCACAAAGAGCAGCCAGCTATACATGCATCCACATTCAACAGTCGCGCATCCTTCCGGCTTTCCCAATGGCTCAGAAAATACTGGGGGAATGCAGCTGGCTAGCTAGCATGGCTAAAGAACGTCCTTTTACGTTGTCCAGTTGTTTCTCCTCATGAATACTCGCCTCCATGAAGGTGAATAATCGACACTTCTGACAAGTATCGTTATCATAAAAGAGAATGAGGCGTAGCTAATTATGCGACACACAGCAAGAAGAGTAAATGGGAGACGACGAAGGAGCCTTGGTATCGGCTAAGCCAATTTTAAATTTGGAGGTGCAAAACACGAAAGTAAGTGCTGTGTTGGCACAGTACACTTTTAAAAAGTTTGGCTTGAACCCTGCAACAGTGGGGAGTGATCAACTACAGTATGAACAGCAAATTATCAGGTAAATTAATGACTGTCTGAAGAGAAAATAAAACAATGGCTAGACAGCTAGCACATACATCCAAAAACCGGAAATGAAAATAAAGTCATAAGTATATCCAGAGTATTAAATATTTACAATATCAGCAGAGTTACTTGTGTTGTTTGCTATTTTTTGCACCTTTCGAGTGCTGAGTTTTAAATACCGGTATGAGTTTTAAGATCAGTTTAATGTTGTAATAAATTGCATTATACTCTATTTGTTTTCTTTCTTTCTTTCTTTTGACTGAAAGGTTTTAAACAATTTAGCTTTATAAGGGACTATTTTATGAATTCAGAAATACTTCCATTTCCATTTTTATTGTTATACTTGTGTTTATATTGAGATATACTGTATATCATTATAGGGTTGGGATTTAATCTGTATTATGATATGAATTTTAGGCTATATTGCTCAGCTCTAATAGTGGTATCGGCACAAGGGCTTGCTTTGTCTTCTGTTGTGATGGAACGGTTTATCACAGAAACAGCAGTGACAAATACATGCGCAGCTGAATCATACACCGGCAGAGTTATAGACAAAAACTACATGTCTGTGTGTATTCAGGTCATGTCTCAGCAAACGTGTATGTTAGTGCGGGTGGCACTGTTCAGTACCTGGTTGCATGTAATCTTGTGTGACAGAAAAGCAGCTGGCAACAGGGTACGGATGATCAGCAGTATGGAGAGTAACTTGTGAGTGTTGTGCATCTAGTCATGTTGCGAAGCTCTGTGTTGTGTGTCACTGTGGAGCACCGAGGATGTTCATCACTAATCATGGTGGATGTTAAACAGCTTCAGAGGGAGACACTGCATGTCTTTAAATCTGAGTTAGATGTGTCATGCTTTTGGGTTTGTGTCTGGAGTGTATGCACATTGTTCATGTGTTGAACTGGTTCTTCAGTCTTTTGTATTTCATGTCGATGCAAACGCGTGCATGAACCCCATGTGTTTGAATGTGTATACACACACTACACCATCTGCTTGCTGTTGTGGAGCTAAAATCCCTGATAGCCTCATGTCCCTGTTTCCAAAACAGCTGATCAGTCATCCAACTCGCTGGCTGGCAAGCTACTTCAAAAGACAAAGTTGTCTCTGGAGAGGCGTGTGTTACGCTCTCAGACACATCAAATGCAATAATAAAGCCACTTATACAACACCAACGCTGTGGCTGGAGCTGAATGGCAGAGGCACAAGAAGTAGCTTTGAATGACCAGATTTGCCTTGAAATTTTCAGTATGTACAGGCCCGGTATGCTGTAGTCAAATTTTGTAAAAATCGATGTTTTTGTTGCTGAATATTTTTTGACAAGCGACACAGTGTTTGTCGCAGTGGTTCGCACATCGGCCTCACAGTTCGAGTCCAGCTTTTGTCATTGCTACATAGAGTTTGCACGTTCTTTCAGTGCTTGGTTTACTCCGAATACTCTAGCTTCCTTGTCCGTTCCAAAATCATGTTTATTGGATTAATTGAAGGCTCAAAATTGTGCAATGTGAATACTTATCTATAAACATTCAGTACAGCACTGACTGTGAGTACTTGTACTTGTACTTGCTGTACAAATTGAAGCGCTGTGAATACTTTCCGGATGCACTGTTTATACTGCATGCTGCGATTGGCTGGCGATCAGTCCAGTGTGTACCCTACATTTTGCTGAAAGTCAGCTGGGACGGGTTCGAGCTCGACCTGCAACCCTAGTGAAGATAGTGAATGATCACAGAAAATAGATGAATGGATGTAGTGGGTGGTGAAGTTGTGTGCAATATGTGCAGCGTCACTGGACGGTATTTCTGTTTGTTGCCTTAACTCGACAAATTCTTTGCTGTTGCTGTATTATGATTTGATTAATATGTAGCAGGGGAGTGCCAAAGGGGAGTCTTGTATGGGTTCCATTTAAGATACTGTGGGACTACAACTGAATAGGTGTTTTTAACAGATGAGTACCAAACATTACATGGGTGTAATGGGGTAAACATGACACCTTTTTATACAAGCGGAACGTAATGGTGCACGCATAAATCACTAATCTATGATAGCACAGCAGTGAAATTGAAAAACGGCAATAAAAAAGTAGTAATTCCTTACCTTTACTTCAGTGTTTGGCACAAAAAAACTCATTCAGAATCACAAAATGCTGTTGTTCACAAACCAAAGATCCCCTGTACCTCCCAAATAAAATGCCCCAGCTATTTAATCTGGTCTGGAGTTGAGCCATTCCATAAATGTCTAAATTTAAAACAAATTGGGAAAATAGCCACCGCGGGAGCGCCGTTACTCTTTGTGCCAAAATACCTCCAAAATAGATGAGTCCTTATGAGCGCATATCAAACTCAGACCTAATTAAATTTTGCCACAAACTCTTGTGCAGGAATAATTCACTGCAAATGTCCCAGTGATTTATTTTTTTAATTATTTTATCTTTTTTTTTTTTTTTTTTTTAAGCATGAGTTGCAATGGAAAAATTGCTGACAAAACGCCAACAAGTCTCCACAGGGAGCGTTCTTGATTATCAAATTGAATCAACCTCCTTTGTGTTGGCACTGGGATGCTAGCAGCTGTCGTCAATCATCATTAAGAACAATTTTGGAACCAGCATGTATACTCCCCAGCCATAACATTAGGTACACTGCATCAAATGTGTGTGTATGTGTGTGTGTGTGTGTGTGTGTGTGTGTATCGTTAATTGGAGTTGCTTGTCACAGAGGATAAATTGGTCAATATGTGGCAAGACATGACCTCGTCCGGATGAATGAAACTGAAGGCACTGATGAAATAACAGCTACAACTTATTTCATCAGGCAACAATCAGGCCGTATATTGACCAATAGTGAGCATACATATTTGCAACAACAAAAAAATAGTTTAGGTCAGGGGTCAGCACCCTGTGGCTCTTTCATCCTTTTGTTGCGGCTCTGCGTGGATTGGGAAGATAAATTATAAATGTCTGATGGAAGTGTATGTTATTTGTCTCAAAAACGTGTATCACATCTGTTATGTTCTCTGACTGTCCACTAGGTGGACGTGCTTGTTGCTATAAAAATATTATTGAGATGAAAAAGGAAGAAGTAATGGCGACTATAGTGAGTTGTACGATCTAGTGTTGTGCTGTTAATAGCCAGATAAGAAAATAAAGTGTTTGGCTACGCCCTGACTTTGTTGTTTTGCCTCCCAACACCACAACTTCTTTCTTCGGACCTCGTGCAATTTCACAATCACCTTCTTCTGAGACGTTTGCGGGCAAGTTCAGCTCTAGAAGTTTGCGCGAAGTTTAGCTTTTTAATTCATTTGAACGATTCCTTCAACGATGCAATTGTTTTTGGACGAGTTCAAAATGCGTTCATTTAATAAATAAAAAGTAATTTTCTGAAACATGGATGGACAGCATGGATTTCATAAGCAACACACTATTTTACAACTGTGTGTGTGTGTGTGTGTGTGTGTGTGTGTGTGTGTGTGTGTGTGTGTGTGTGTGTGTGTGTGTGTGTGTCTGGAACATTGCCCTGTGACGGAGGGAGGTTCATTGTATCTGCAATTTCATTCTCAAATATTTTTCTTTACGCTGTGAAGAACAATTCAAAGACATTGCTGCAGCTGCGGGAAGGCCAAGTGGGGCCTGACATTCATTTTCATCAGCCTGACAGAGGTCTAGTCACAGACCCCATTTCACCCCAGTGCCCATCCCCCTCAACACTTACCTAACACGGGTCGTGCTAATTAAATGTTCCAGACTCCCAGGCTTTTAATAAAGCCTGACATGACAGCTTGACCTGTGCATGTCAGGGTGACCCAGTAACCCGGAAGCAGCCTTGTGTGTTGGTTTTGTGTATGTGTGTGTCACTCCGGTTTGGAGTCTGTATCACTGGGGGAAGGGCAGACACCTGTCTGCATCCCAAAAAGGTCACTTTGGTAGGGTGTGGGAAACATTGTGACTCAGCGTCTCTGCAGCAGAGGGTAAATTAGCAATACAGATGCATCACTGGGGGAAAGAGACTGATACTGTTCTGTGTTCTTCTTGGAGGGCTCTGAAGATGGATTTTTTTTTTCTTTAGCGAACCGTCTCACACTTGAGCAGCTGCCCTTGAGATTGATTTTATTTCATTTTCATCAGCAGTTCTTAAACACATCATGGCCACAGTTGACACACTGTTATTTTATTTTCGTGTGTGTGTGTGTGTGGGGGGGGGGGCACCCAACATAATTTGTTCTTGCTTTTGCACTGCTCTGCCAAAGAGAATACACATACTTTCCCAGGACCAAGTTAAATGGATAGATGGAAGGATGAGTGGATGTTTTTTGGATTTTACAGTACTTTATTCATGATTATTTAGACACGGATACTTTAAGTAGATGGATGGGTAGTGGATAATGGATAAAGAGGTATGGCATTGGGTGGACACAACAAAATTAGGGTAGATGGATAAATGAATAAAGAGTGCACAATTCCTTGGATGGATGACTAGGTAGCACTCCAGGTGAATGGAGAGAGATGGAAGAATTGGGTGGAAGGATTTGCAATGGGGGTGGGGTGGTAGGGTGTATGCATGGGTGATTGGCACATGGGGGGGGATGGTAATGGTTAGATCAGCACACATTATCCTACATTAAAAAAAAAAATGTAGAAACTAAGTTACAAAGACAAATCCAGCCATCTAATGCAGCTTTAGTTGGGTGGAGCCTCTTCGAAAATTCTGCATAGTATTTTAAATGTTTTTAATTGTACCACTGGGGTATAAATGAACACTTAATTCTGATATGGCACTGCAATTTCAATGTCTCAATGACAGCCCCTTGGTATTATTAACACAACTGAACAGTGTGTACTCAACAAATACAGTCAGGTCACTCCTGAGAGTTTTTAGGCACGTGACGGCAAATGAAAGATATACAGTTTTAAAAGTGCTTCGTGGATGTAATCACAAAAGGAGCTTCACTTCTGAAAAGTTATTTGATGATAGAAAATATCGACTTTACAATCACACTCAATATAAACTCATGGCAGCGGTTCATGTAATGCTGTTGTGGTCCAACACTCATAGATGGATTGATTGACGGACAGGTGAGGATTGGATGGTCTTATGCACAGATGTGCAGTTGAGGGCTTTATGAAGGTGGATGAAGTATTGATGAATGTGTGAAGGTTGAGTTGGTGTTGGGATGGTTTAATATGCAGATGGTCAGATTGATAGCAGTGAAAGAGTAGATGGATATATATTAGTAATGGGCCCACATCAATTCAATGACATTTGCTGAAAGGTCCACTGAACAGCTTTTGGGGATTAACAGTAAATGATTAAACCCTGTTAGCATATGGATCAACAAGTTAAGCTTCTACATTGGCATGTGCGCGCGGCGCATTTAAAACGCGGGGCCGGCATTAAAGCACAACGAGAGATGAACGTGACCACAAAAAGTCAACTTCTAAAGCAAACAAACGGAAACTGGAAACGTGAGTGTGAACTTAAGACCGGCCCTCTGATCGCTACCAGGCACGAGCAGACAGAGCACCGCATTGTGTGTGAGCTGCAGCTGCTCTCACAACAGCTGACTGCTGTTTGTATTCCCCCTTTACCATTAAAGCAAGTTGATACTTTGATACTCCCATACGCAGGTTTTTGAGATGTATATTTCTGTACTCTAAATATCCTGTGTTCTGTCAGAACCTCATCCCCGCCCCATGAAAAGGCCCTTTTTCTTCCTTTCTTCCTCCCTGTGGTCATCTTAACTGCCCATGCTGAGGAGATGGAAGCTTCTCTATATTTACTCCATCTCCACCCGGCTTCCATCTCGGCAGGCAGTGCTATGCATCTTTCATCTGTGGAGCTGAATGACCTATATTCTCATTCATATCCCTGCAGTTCCTTTCTGTCCCAGTCCTGGCCTTCTCTGGTTACTTTGAGTTTAAAGGCTAAAATAAAAAACAAAACAAAACCATATTTTACTGGGATGGGATTGAGGGAATGGGCCCATACCAGTGGAATAATAAATATTTCAAAATGTAACCGGGACGAGCAGCTCTATTTAATAGTCACTGCTACTGTAAATGGGTCAGGGTGAATCTTATTGCACATGACCTGGTTTACCTTTTTTCAAAAGCATTCTGATGGCGTGCCCAAATATGTTTCGACTAATAAGCGTACGAAGATTGCATTTCTTTCAATTTATGCAGACAGGAGACAAGCAAATAATAGACAGCCAACAAATAAGCGTAACCGGTGATCAAGAAAATGAGTTTTTTTTTCATTGTTTCGCCATTAAAAATGCAACACTATTCACATCATTCCAGGTCAATAGGTTGAGATTGCTCTGTGAGATTCCACAGTATCGAATCACAGTTATTATTGCTCCTTGTCTCTGAACGGATCTGAACACTCAGCGTTACACAATATTAAAATACACCACCCACTCACAGAAGGTGAGAGAGAGAATTTGGTGAATCAACAAACAAGACTTGAGGCATTTAAATGCTAAGAAATCAAACAATTCATTTCTTGAACTTGTGTTTTTAGATCAAGTGCCTTTGAGCGGTCACCGCCAGGTTTTGGGAAAGCACAAACCTTTCTCATAAACCTCTGACCGCAAACCCAGAAGCCAACTCCTATCCTTTGAACAACAACAGCAATTTTCACATTCTCCTAGTTCAGCGCCTTGAAAACAATCTCTCATTTTCATATGATAGGAACATCCATTCATTCCAAATTATTTACCTCCTTCCTGATTTCTGTGTCCTTTGCAATTTTATCACACACAAAGATTTCTGTTCAGCAAACCAATTTTAATATCACAAAGCGACAACCCAAGGACAGACTAGAAAATCCTCCAATATGGCGCAGTTGAAACAATTCTGTGAAGAAGAGTGGGCCAAAATTCCTCCACAGCAATGTGAAACACTCATCAACAATTATGGCAAACACTTGATTTCAGTTATTGATGCCAAGGTTGGCACAACCCATTATTAGGTTATTAGGGGGCAATTACTGGTACTTTTTCACATAGGGACATGTAGGTTTGGATTTTTTTTTTTCAATGTCTAAATACATTAAATTGGCATTTAGAAACTGGCGGCCCGGTAATAGAGTGGTTAGAATATCGACTTCACAGTGCAGAGGTACCGGGTTCAATTCCAGCTCCGGCCTTCCTGTGTGGAGTTTGCATGTTCTCCCCGTGCTTGCGTGGGTTTTCTCCGGGTCCTCAGGTTTCCTCCCACATTCCAAAAACATGCACGGCAGGCTGATTGAACACTCCAAATTGTCCCTAGGTGTGAGTGTGAGCGCGTATGGTTGTTTGTTTCTGTGTGCCCTGCTATTGATTGGCTGACAACCAGTTCAGGGTGTCCCCCGCCTACTGCCCGAAGACAGCTGGGATAGGCTCCAGCACCCCCCCCCCCCCGCAACCCTAGTGAGGATAAAGTGGTTCGGAAAATGGATGAATGAATGCATTTAGAAACTGCATTTTGTATTTCCTTGGGTCGCCTCTGTGTGATATTAAA